ATGGGGATGGAGCTGGGGATGGGGATGGAGCTGGGGATGGGGATGGAGCTGGGGATGGGGATTCAGCCGGGATGCGGGGATGGAGCCGGGCTGGAGCTGGATCTGAAGCCGGGCTGGCTGAGCTCCCCTTCCTTCTCCGCCTCCGTCTGCCCAGCTCCAAAAAAGGCGAGCGGGCACCGAGCCCTAAGAACAGAACGGCAGAGCGGAGCGAGGCCAGGCCCCGGCCCCGGCACTGCCCGGTGCCCAGCGAGTGTCCCCGGTGCCCGGTACCCGGTACCCGGTGCCAGACCCGAGCCGAGCCGGGCCCTGCGGAGCCGCGATGGAGCCGGGCAGGGGCTGCAGCCGCTCCTCCGGCGGCGCTGGGAACGGGCGGTATTTTTGGAACATGATCTTGTACAAACATCGCTGCTCCCTGGCCAAACATGGTCCGGACATTTTTCTTGCCGTTTCCCTCCTTTTCCCCCCTTCATGCCCTCCTTTTTTTTTTCTCCCCGTCTCTAAACTCCCCGACACTCGCTCCCTGCAGCCCTCTCCTCCTCCTCCTCCTCATCATCATCATCCTCCTCCTCCTCCCCACGGCCCTGCCGGCTGTTCCCGGTTTAGAATTCCCCAGCAATGACTCCGTGCCTCGACTCCAGGACCGTTATTGGCAAAATGTTCTTTCTTTCTTTCCTCCTTTCCCAGCTGCTGCCTTAAAGGAGCCGTGCGTGTCCGGGGTTATCCCGGCACTGGCAGCTCCCATCCCGTGCCCCGGGCTGCCAAAGGCTGGACAGCAAACGGCTGCTGGAGGGATGTGGGAATGGAGCCGGGCTCTCCGGATCAGTAGCAGTAAAAACAGGGAAAAGGGGAATGTGGGCAGCACTCGTGCCAGGCAGGAGCCCAGTACCCAACCCTGGGGCCAGGCAAGGTGATGGCACTAATTAAAAACTGCTCATTGTGCCTCGGGCACTAATTAAACGCTGTTCATTGTGCCTTTGGCCTGGCAGGGAGCTGAGCCCCAGGTGATACTGCCACAGGACTGCACACTGGGAATGATCCAGGATCAGCCTCTTCCTGCACTCCTGCATCCTCCTGGTCCAGCATCTTCCAGTTTCCAACATCATCCCAGGCTCCAATATCATCCCAGGCTCCAGCATCATCCCAGGCTCCAACATCATCCCAAGGTCCAGCATCATCCTGGCCTCTGCCATTGCCTCTGGTTCCAGCATCATCCCAAACTCCACCATCATCTCAGGCTCCAATATCATCCCAAGGTCCAGCATCATCCCAAGGTCCAGCATCCTCCTGGGTTCAGCATCTTCCAGGCTCCAGCATCACCCTGGATTCCAGGACATTCCTTACTCCACTATCATCCCAGGTTCCAATATCACCCCAGGTTCCAATATCATACCAGGCTCCAGCATCATTCCAAGGCCCAGCATCCCCCAGGGCTCCAGCATCATCCCAGTTTCCAAAGTCAGACTGGGCTGCAGCATCATCCCAAGGTGCAGCATCACCCTGGATTCCAGGACATTCCCAAGTCCAGCATCATCGAGGTTCCAATATCATCCCAAACTCCAGCATCATCCTGGGCTCTGCCATTGCCTCAGGCTCCAGCACATTCCAAGCTCCAGCAACATCCCAAGCTTCAGTATCATCCCAGGCTCCAATATAATCCCACAGTCCAGGATCATCCCACACTCCAGGATCATTCAAGGTTCCATCATCATCCCAGGCTCCAGCACATTCCAAGATCCAGCATCATCATCCTGGGCTCCAGCAAATCCCAAGTTACAATATTATCCTGGGCTCCACCATGACCCCAGGCTCCAGCATCCTCCTGTGTCCCAGCAATCCTCACAGGCTCCAGTCTCATCCTGGCTGGATCCCAGCAATCCTCACAGGCTCCAGTCTCATCCTGGCTGGATCCCAGCAATCCTCACAGGTTCCAGTCTCATCCTGGTCTCCAGCTCCTTCCCAGGCTCCTCCTGCTCCCTGATCTCCTTTTTCCAGCAGCCATGAACAGAATGTCCCAGTCCCTGCCAAGGCTGCAGGACCCCCCTTCTCTCAGCCCTGCGTGTGCAGGTGGTGCAGGCCCCTGTCCAGGACATCCCAGCACAGCCAGTCCCACAGGAATTATGGAATTATGGAATTATGGAATTGCAGCTGGAATGACTCTGCCTCTGGACTGGCCCAGGGACCCTCCAGGTCCAGCTCAAGTCTGGTTTTATTTTTCACTCAATTGATCAGAAAAACCTCAGTGCTCTCTGCAGAGGGCCAAGGTGGTTGAGCTGCTCTTCCCTGTTTCCCCACAGCTCCTGGGCATCCTCCCCATCCAGGCTGGGAAGCTCCTGCTCCAGCAGTGTGCCTCACCCAGGAGCAGGCTCAGGGAACACCGAGTTCCTTGGGAAATCACCGGTTAAGCCAAGTCCCAAAGCCCAGCTCAGAGCCCAGCCCATCTGTCAGGCAGCTCCCACAAGCCCCGGGGCAGCTCCCAGATCCGGCTGTGCCGGAGAGGACAGGGCTGGAAGTTCCCAGGAGAGCTCCATGCAGGATTTGCTGATGGGATTCGCAGCTGCTGGAGCAGCTCAGCCACACCAGGGCCTCCCCAGGCAGCTGCATCCCAGCTCTGAGGCTTGGGGGAGCAGCTCAGGGGTTGCATCACTTGGCCAAGGCCAGGAGCAGCAGCCGGGAGCTCATGGACGAGCCTCTCACACCAACTGCTCTCTGCAAAGGCATCCCTGGGAGTCAGGAAACGGGGCAGCGTTGGGGATGGTTCACAACAAACCTGG